TAGGAACAGGAGGGGATGGTGGCGGTGAAGGCTCGGTCCCCCAAGGTCCATTGCTTTGTCCAGTTTATTTAATTCATTTAAAAGGTGAATGACCGCCTCTCCTCTTACTATCAACAATGCGTTTCCTCTCTAGCATTGGTCAAACTGTATCTCTGCTCTTTCCCGCTCCTCCTCCCTCACATGGACCTATAAAGATAGCAGTAATGGCAGCTTTGAATCACCGTAAAACCGGACAAAGACGACACAGTTGTCCAAATGCGCTCTTCTCTATCATTCGGACATAAAGACGTACGCGATCTGGGCCGATTCTCCGCGCCTGGCAGCTGTGTACAAATAAAAAGTTATAGCGGTCGGCCATCTTGGTGAGGGACACGGCGAGGGGGTTTATTGGCGGTAGATCATTCCGGGGAGAGGGGCCGTGGCAGTAAAGTGTGGAGCGACCCCGGCGGCGTCGTAAATAACGCAAGATGGCGGACGGCGAGGGTTAACGGGCAGCCGCTGAGTGAGGATGATGGGAGGATGCTCGGGCCAAGGATAACACAGATATAGGGCCGGAGCCGCAGACGGGAGAGGGGCTTGTGTGAGTGCAAGGGGGGGTGGAAGTGCTCACTCGATTTAGCTTGAGTATGAGAGTCGAAATGTGTAAAGATAAAGGCAAGGACAATCTTTAAAGGTCCTATATTACACAAAATTGACTTTTATGAGCTTCGAGACATGTTAGAATGTTTTTACCTCCTCAAAGACAAACCTGGAGTTGTGTTTTGTTTCATGACATCACAAGGTGGAACAGAGTATTTTGAGTTTAAGAGATGTAGACAGACTAATAATTAGGGCTGGGTATCATTAAGAAGTTACCGATACGATACAAACCTCGATAAATAGGCCAAGATACGATACATACCTCGATACAGCGAGCTTTCGATTCTATACAATATATTTCAAATTGATTCGATACAATTCAATAAAAAAAATAAAGGCTAAATCATGGATGTGATACTAAAAGTCTTTGTTAAACCACTTCTTGTGCAAAGTGAATATGAAACACAAACATTTTACTCATCAAAACAGAGAAATATGTCAAATGTGTCTCAAACGAGCAACAAAACTATAGCACTGTAACAAAATAATTTATTAAACTATATACTCTTGGCAATATATCAGTACAGCAGCCCAGGATATCAATCCTGCATCATCACATTAAACAATACAATATATGATATTTTGATATTTTTGCACACCCCTACTAATAATACAGCATTACTCAAACATACGTGAATGAAAACTGTTTTCAAGTTAACAGCTACTTTTTACCTTTTGTTCAGTACAGATTGGCGATTCCAGGGCTGAAATAATCCATGATTCTAATTAGGGGTGTATAAAATATCAATATATCATATCGTTTAATGTGATGATACAATATCAATATTTTTTGATACTGGGTTTTTGAATCAATATATCCCCAAGAGTATTTTTTTTAGTATATCTGACAAATAAACTATGACTATCTAAATTATTTTGTTACAGAGCTACAGTTTTGTTGTTGTTTGTAGTTTTTATTGCTTGTTTAGAGGAAGGAAACTCGTTTGTGCAGCACATTTGACTTTGTCACTGTTTTGATGATTAAAATGTTTGTGTTTCATATTCACTTTACCCAAGAAGTGGTTTAACAAAGACTTTTAGCATCACAGCCATGATTTAGCAGTGATTCTTTTATTGAACTGTATCAAATCGAGTTGAAGCATATTGTATTGAATTGAAAGTGCACTGTATCTAAAAAAAAAACTTATCATATCGTGGCCTATGTATCGAGGTATATCTAATGGTGTATGGAGTTTAAAAACAAAGTGGTACACTTCCTGTAGCCTGTTACCACATGACATCACAGAGTGTTTTTAGTTTTGGACAAGAACACAGCCTAAATTATGCAGGGTTTGTGTGTTAAACATGTGTGAATGAAGCAAAGCACAACTCCAGGTCTGTTGGTGATGAGGAAAAACTATAACATAGATCAGAAAATTGCGTAATTTCATTTCTACAACAAAGTTTCCACATTACCTACTAATGTGTAATAATGTAATATCCAGAAACGGCATCCAGTTTAGACACCAACCAAAATTGCCAAAATTACCAAAAACAATCGCTTCATGACATTTTAAGACAGTTGAAACGTGTGTGAATGAAGCAAAACACAACTCCAAGTATGTTTTGATGCTGTAAATTTATAACATGTTTTAAAGCTCTCAAGAGTCTGTTTTTGTGAAGACCTTTAAGTGTAAACTCATAGAAGATGCAGATACATTTAGTACCGCAAAAAAGTTAACATAATATTCCTAAATTCTACATCAACTGTGTTAAAATCGATGAAAAACATATCTCTAAGCCATCACCCAGCCTGGCTCCTGCTTATATACTTGACAATGTGACCAAGTTCCCCGTAAGGCCACCTAACTTTTTACATCTTAATTAAAGTCCCGGTGATATTGATCCCTGTAAACTGGCCCTAATAGTGAACACTTGCCAAGAGATGTGCACACTCCGGTCTTTAATTAAAAAGTGGACCACAGAGCGCGGATCAATATTTCAGATGAGAATTATGCAACTTTATTAAAAAAAATCTTCTTAGTTTTGCTCATGTATTGACCACTGGCGAGCACCCAAGGGAGCTGTAGCGTAAGATGATTTAACCAAGAGAACTGCTTATCCAGGAGACTGATTTTAGACTCTTAAGAGGAGAGGTAAAAGGATCTAGACATGGAGTGGAATTTATAGTGACATTTACGCCCAAATGTTAACTAACCTGACATTTCTACCTTCGATTGGTTTATTTACATTTTTAAAAGTTTAACTGCAAAAGAACAGGTATAAATAGCTGTGGGATAGTTTCTGATTGTGGTTTTTTTTGGCTGGGAATCGCTGCAAGAAGGTTCCAGGTTCCTTTGCAGAGTTTGCGTGTTCTCTCTGTGTCTGGGTGGGTTTATTTCAGGCACTCTGGCTTTCTCCGTCAACCCAAAACACGCACCATAGGTCAGCGAAGGCAAGCCGAGCGGCACTGGTTGAATGATTAGAATAAATAAAAGTGTACATTAACTCCATCCTTATTGTTAGGAAACGGTAGAATAAATAGTTGTAGCTCCAGAGTTGATAAGAAGCCTGACGTTGGAGTTTTAACGCAGGAGAAGTTTATTTACATCAGTACAGGACCCAGCACAGTGAGAGAGATGGTGTATTCTGGTTGTAGGGAGTATTATACAGGACGGGGTTCCCAGTCTTTTTCACTGACAAAATTTCCATGACCTAAAATGAATTTTCCATGACTTTACGACACCCTACATGTGTAGAACTGATCATACATTTATTAAATATGAAATGTTAATCCTTTCCGCTCACCTTATGGTTTGGGATTATAGTTTTTTTTAACATTCAAAACACTGTCAGTGCATTTATTGTTGTCTTTTTTTTTTAAACAAAAGGCGCAGACGTTCGGAAATAATCATAATAGCCTAATGAGAACTTAACAGAGCGCTGTAGAAAGAGATATGACAATTCTTTGACTTTTCCAAAACTTTCATTGAATTTACAAAATTCATGGACTCTTCCAGGCTTAGAAAATGACATTTTCCATTTTCATGACTCCGTGAGAACTGTGATTATACCTCTGATAATGCAGGTCGAGATAATGGGCTGAGTGGACAATATGTTCCCGTGATACAGCACTGAAATGGAACTTCTCTTAACACATTACACAACGCTTAAAGCCGTCCATTTGACATTGTGAAAATTCTAAAAACTAAACAACAAAACTTAACATCGGTGCTTGATAACATGTTGTATTTACAGTAATTCACACCTCACAGATCTCTTGGTTTTTGATCGTTCATGGTTTAGTTCAGTGGCTCTCAAACTTTGAAAATAATCTTTTATTGTCTCTCATGGGAGAAATTTGTCTCGGGGCAGGGGTGGTCACACACTTTAACAAAGAGTGCAATTTTCACACCAAATACCACCAAAAGAAAATATTTGTCTTTCCGAGTACCACTAGATCTAAACCAGGTCTATATCCATATTTTTCAGACTACAAGGAGAACTTAACATCCTTTAATTTTCTCAAAAAACCGACAGTGTACCTTATATTCCATTGCGCCTTATGTATTAGTTCTGGTTTTGCCTATTGACTTCGAACCGATTTTCACACATATTCCACTTAGTTCGTTTTCTTTAGTCTGATAGAAGCTGAACCGCATCAGTGCACAAGGAGCGAGCTGTTTTGTTTATCGCTTATAGTTCATGCCAATTAGTCATGTGGTTTTAAGTTTTGTTTTCTGTAAAACGTAAACAAAACTGCATTAAACACATTATTAATGTATATTTGAGTCCTTCTCGTTGGAAATAAAAAGTATCAAGTTTCAAGTATCGTCCATTTGTTTCAATTTGTTCACATTTACAATCCGGTGCGCTTTATGTATAAAATAGACAAGAGAATTCAACATTATTGATATTGTGCTTTATAATCCAGTGCTCCTTATAATCCAAAAAAATACGGTACATCTTTTCCATTGTGGTTCTAAACAAGAAATTATCCGAAGGGCAAAAAGTGAATAAAAAATATGAGGCAAACCCACAAACTCAAAAGGGCGACTCATGTTCCACCTGAAGAAGCTTGTTGAGAAACGCTGCTTCAGTCTGTTGTGTCATACATTTACTTTGCTTTACATGGAACATTTTGCGTTTGTTTCTTCCTATGATTATTCTCAACCAAGTCGTGCAAATTTTCACACATTTCAGACCCGTCTCTCCTAAACAACTCTTCTGTTAGTCTCACTTGAGGAATAATTCACTTGTATTAAGAATCCCATTTCCCTTTGACCCTATGACTGACTTTCTTTTTCTTTTTTGTTTTGTTTTTCCCAACTGCTTGCCCTGTGTTCTAGTTAAATGTGTGTTTTTGCGTTTCGTATTCTCACTAATCCACCTTTTCTCTTTCTCTTTTGTCTTCTCTGCAGGTGACTCATCTCAAGTCGGTAAGTCAATTTTGTATTTTTCTTCCGTTTTGCTGGTCTTTGCTTGTTGTTGATTTGGATGCTGCTGTTGCGACTTAAGCCCGGCGTGCGGATTTCAATTTGTTTTTGCTTTGGGGGAGTTTTTTTTTTTTTGGGGGGAGTTTGTAAAAAATATTAGCATTTTTAGCGCTGGAGAATTTGAAATGGTTTTAGCGTTGGAGTGTTCGTGAACGCGGCCGAGCTCTGTTTCTCGTTTTAGAGCTCGCGTTTTACCTCATTGCCAATTTCAGTTAGCAAAAAAAGAAAAGCAATATTCTAGCCGCTTTTTAGCTTTTGCTGTTTGAAATACTGATGTTGGGCAGACAAAATTGCAGTATCTGTGTTCCATGTTTCATATATTGAAATAGTCTGGCAGATTGTAGCCGTGTGCCAATTGTAAATAGTCTAGTTTTGGTGATGCTGAATGAGCTGGTATCCACTGTGACTGTCTCGTCTTGACGAAAAGAGGCATTTTCAGAACGTTTGATTCTCAGTATTTTGCAAGAACACACACATTTTTTATGATTATTGCCAACTATCAACGTGCAGATGTTTTCTTGTGGTTTATAGTGAATATATTTGTAGTTACCTAGGCAGATTTAAATGAAGTAAAACTGCCAAAATGTTGAATGTTAAATATCTAAAGATGCCTGCGTAATCCCTCAGTTGTCCAAGTGGAGTAGATGGTCAAATCAAATACAGATTTTTGTGGTAACAGTTGGAAAGCTGATTTCTTCTTAATCACAAAAGCAATGGAAATGTGACCAAGTTGTTTAAAGGGCCACTAAACACCAAAATAACTTTTTTTTCCTACTGATTATCTGTGTAAATGGGTCTAAATTAGAAATGTATACCTATCTCTGGACTTATTTTGGTATTTTAGTACATATTTATTGAAAATCTGACTTTTGGGTTAAAGTCTTGTCTGTAACAGCCTCTTTAGGATCAACTACAGTCAGGACATTTGATTTTTCGGGTTGGACTAACGGCCGCCAGTGAATTAGACGCAGGTTATTACGTGACGAGCGCAGTCACCTTCGTCTACAGGTGGGACTTGAGGAGCCCTGACCCCGGCACCGCTGGGCACTGCGATGTCCCGCCATGTCTGCAGAAAAGGGAAACGTCGTGATCCGAGCACAAATGTCCGCTCTATGTCAAAGTTCGTGCACCGGTCTGCGCCGTGTTGGATTTTTGTGAGTCGGTTGGCTGTCAATCATCGCTCCAGAGCCCCACATCACCGCTCACTCTGGAGGATTTTTTAGATTTTGCTTAGGGGTGGAGTAAAGCTTTGAGAGGTTGTTTAATGGCTCTTTGAGTTGTACCTCTTGTGCTTCTCAAGTCTCTAATTTGTCTTGCAAGTTTCAATGCTGAAATCCAGTTGGTTTAAACCTCAAAATGCGTCTCTCTCGTCTGAATTGTCATTGCCTGAACCTCAGCACCTGCAGCCAAACATGAATCAGATGAAATCGCGTCAAACGCCCCTAGTTTGCCACTTGACTTTCAGTCATTCGCTTCATTCGTGTGTCCAGGTTGCTTGAGTTTGGGAATTTGGTTGCGCAAGTAAATAGACAAAAATAGACAAGTAATAGACAGAGCGGGACTGAGACAGACCGGGACTTGAGACCGGGACTTGAGACCGGGACTTGAGACCGGGACTTGAGACCGGGACCAGACCGGGACCAGACCGGGACTGAGACTGGGACCAGACCGGGATCAGAGCAGGACTGAGACCGGGACCAGACCGGGACTGGGACCGAGAGAGGGACTGAGACCGGGACTGAGACCGAGACCGGGACCGAGACTGAGACTGGGACCAGACCGGGACTCAGACCGGGATCAGAGCAGGACTGAGACCGGGACCAGACCGAGACTGGGACCGAGACTGGGACCGAGAGAGGGACCGAGAGAGGGACTGAGACCGGGACTGAGACCGGAACTGAGACCGGGACCGAGACTGAGACCGGGACTGAGACTGAGACTGGGACCGGGACTGAGACCGGGATCGGGACCGAGACCGGGACCGAGACTGAGACCGGGACCAGACCGAGACTGGGACCGAGAGAGGGACTGAGACCGGGACTGAGACCGGGACCGAGACCGGGACCGAGACCGGGACCGAGACCGGGACCGAGACCGGGACCGAGACCGGGACTGAGACCGGGATCGGGACCGAGACCGAGACCGGGACCGAGACCGAGACCGGGACCAGACCGAGACTGGGACCGAGAGAGGGACTGAGAGAGGGACTGAGACCGGGACTGAGACCGGGACTGAGACCGGGACTGAGACCGGGACTGAGACCGGGATCGAGACCGGGACCGAGACCGGCACTGAGACCGAGACCGAGACCGGGACCGAGACCAGACGGGGACCAGAGTGGGACTAAGACCAGGACTGAGACCGGGACCAGACCAGAACCAGAGCGGGACTGAGACTGGGACCAAAATAAAAGGAAAAGGGGGCAGTGACTGGTGTCTCTAAAATATAGAAGGACTTTGGCTAATGTCTGAGCAACCACCGCTACGGGACCAACACGCTACTACTTCTGCTCCTTCCTTAACAGCAAAGCACCACGGTAATAGCAGCACTGCTTTACGTCCGCTATACTTTGCATTTCACGGGCTTTGTCTATAATAGGCAATCACATTAAGATTATTCATGTCAGAAAAGCAGAGTGTTTGAAAAATAGTAAAGTGCTGCTACTCCAACAATTTAAAAAAAGTCAAAGTAGTGGGACGCTTGAAAAATAATGTTTATGACGCTACTCTGACAATTACCGGAAATTTCTTTCGAATAAAGGCATGTAACTTGTATCCCCGACAAGAAAAAGTTACATGATGCACCTTTATCTACTGTAGGTTTTCATGAAATGCGTAGTCTAACCCGTTATACGCTCTGTAAAGTCAATTCTTTGCTAAGTTCTCACCGTTCATTAGCCCCGTGTTCCCGCTGACGCCTTAATCACGACCAAACTCCGGAGGTAACAAAAGTTCAGTGTTTTTCTCATTACATAGCGCCCTGTCTGCCGTGCTGCCGATAACTTCCCCTCATCACAAAACGCACTCTCTGGCTACCGCTCCGCGACAAAGCTAATTATGAAGAAGCTACGATAACACTGACACGTCGCTGTAGCCGGCATGCTAGCTGGGCTTATTTTCCCGATGCTGGTGCGACGCCGTTATACGTCCCATTAGGCCCCGTGTCTCTGTCATCATGGTTCCGTCTGGCCTGTCGCCGGTTTTTGTTTCGGGAGGCGTCGCGGCGATGTGACATGTCAGCGTATTTGGAGATAAAGAGGTTTGCGCCGGTGATGGATTTGCTCATTGTTTACAGTCAATCACACCGAGCTGACGCCGACGGAATAGTGGAAGGAAGAAAAAAGAAAAACAAAAAGGGCTAAAAGAGGGCCAGTGTTAAGAGTTTGAAAAAGCATTTTACGACTAAAGTTAAAGGGCCCATGTGACGCTTTTTTCTGATCTGTTATAATGTTTATGCATCAAAAACAGACCTGGAGTTGTGTTTTGTTTCATTCACATGTGTTCAACACGCAAACCCCCTTCTCTTAAATAGAAAACACCCCACCTTATGATGTCATTCAGGGTAGCCTGCAGGGTCTCAAAAGTCTCTCAAAACTTCTTAAATTTCATGTTCCTAAATTAAGGCCTTAAAAAGTCTTAAATTATGTTGTCCAAGTCTTATTTTTTTCACAAAGGTCTTAAATTTCATTAGTATTTTTTGTAAAATCAACCAGGCTGCAGTGCAATGTTAAATCACTATATTTTGGTTTCTGGGGTGAGTAGAGTGGAGGAAGATGTTGGATGGATAATGGGGAAGTGTTGGTTTAATCCACAGTGGTTCTTAGATTCTAGATATAGTTCTCTTGTTGTTTGCTCATTATTAGAATTGAATCTGGTGTTTTTCGCCTGCATAATGGGTGCGATGTTGGTCTTAATTATCCATTTAAGTGGTCTTAAAAAGGTCTTTAAAAAGTCTTAAAGTTGGGGTAGTCAAACGCGGGGATATCCTGGTCATGTGGTAATAGAGGAAGTGCACCACTGTGTTTGTAAACTTCATACAGTTTCACTAGAATCATCAGGATATTTCAGCTTTTGGAATTGCAAATCTCTACTGAACTAAAGTTAAAACACAGCTGTTCACTTGAAAACTACCACTTCATGACGTCACAAGGTGGACCAGAGTATTTTGAGCTTTGAAGATGTCAGGGTATCCCCAGGTTTGACTGCCCTAAATTTAAGACTTTTTTAAGTTTAAATGAAAATTAAGACCAACATTGCGAAAAACACCAGATCCAATTCTAATAATGACCATTACTCACTGCTTTAAATAACAAAAAATACTTTTAGTTCTGAATGAGATTTTATAATAATTTATAGTCGTATGCATTGCTTGTAAAATGGCCAAAAAATTTTTTTTTATAACATTCTAGACAAAGTACTCATAGTCCAAATTAGACGTTCATTCACATTACGTAATTTCCCGTTGTTGTTGTTTTGTTTTATTTTCCTCCCTCCATTTGACATTGCACTGCAGCCTGGTTGAGGATACAAGAAAAAAAAATAAGACTTGGACAACATAATTTAAGATTTTTTAAGGCCTTAATTTAGGAACATGAAATTGAAGACCTTTTTAAGACTTTTAAGACCCCACGTCTACCCTGGATGTAGACTAGTCAGGCTGGTGCCACCTAGTGCCTCCTCTCATTTTAATTTCTCTCACGTGACTAGGTCAGAAATCAGAATATTCCAGACAGTTTGCAAGAACCCCAGAAGTGCGAGTCTGGGCACCAGCCAGTCAGCGAAGAGCCAGACATTCTGTGTTGGCAACGATTCCTGAGATCGAGGTTTTAAAGCCGGAACAAAGAGAATGTTTCGTGAATTTTATCAAGGGGAAAGATGTCATTACCCTTCTTCCTATAGGATTTGGCGCATTACGTACGTCACGACTAAATAGCAGCGATTGGT